TTCAAACATGTTTTTCCTTTAATAATGTTTTACAAAACATCAGCATAATAGTTTATATTTGCGAAACTGCATACCATGAACGTGGGTTTTTCAACACGAGTGGTAATTCCGCGCACTTGACAATCGATTTGATTCAATTCCATTAATTTATAAAAACACATGTGTCTGCATGTGTTATCATATTGTCCTGTGTATTTTCTGTGTTCTGTCAAAAAGTTATAACATTTGATATTGGCTAGCCGTCAACGCCAATATCAATTTGGCATTTGAATGCAAATTCGCGGAATTTAAGCTCAAGTGGAATAACCCACGTTCACGTTATATCCTATATTAATTAATAAACTATATGCGTGCCCATTAATAAAGTTTTTATAGCATATTACCTACATTAACTTTCTTACTCGTCTTTTGGTTATAGTTGACTTTTGAGTATTAATAATCAATAATATAAATTTGCTAAAAATTGTCAGACGATTTCATCATGGTAAAACTAGTGTATAATTATGATAAAACTAAGCATTATATGTATGGTTAACATTCGGTAAACATTATTGTTCTGAAGAAAAAGGTGAGTTAAGTAATACCAAAACTAAAATTGGATGGGAAAATGTATCACCTTGTTCTTTTGTCATTCCGTAAACAACATTCCTTTAAATTGAAATGAAAACTTAAGAATGGGTCTAGAATAGGTTATTATGCAATACTACTTATTATTTTAACCCAAAAATAATTTAAAATGTACAAGCATAAGTAAAGGTTTGGTGACAATTGGTTTTCTTTGGTACACACTAAACCAGGCCTTCGCTGTTCGGTAATTTTTGAACTACGGAACTTTTCGGTATAAGTTTATCAGTAAAAAATTTAACGATTTTGAAATTTATTACGAAATTGTACGGACCTAGTTAAAACCATTCAATGATAATGTGTCGATTTTATTGATTTCTTGCGAGTAAGGGGCTGTTCATAAACTACGTAGACATTTGGGGGAGGGGGGTTGGCAATCATCCACGACCCATACAAATTTAATTTTTTTTAATAGGCAATTGTCTACACAGGGGGAGGGGAGAGTCAAGAATCCCAAAAAACTGTCTACGTAGTTAATGAACAGCCTTAATGGTAATTTTAAATTTTACCGACTTAAACGCTGTCCAGACTGGAGAGTTATACCATGTTATAACGGTTGTCAACTAATTGCAACACAGAAACCACCATCAAGATAGCGCTATAACATGTTACAACTCTGTAGTCTGAACGTACTATTAGGTGATACGAATTCAGTGTGTTGTTAGTATTTTATATAGGTCCAGCAACGACGTTTCTGTTTTGACCCGAGTGCAAACATTAACGCTAAACACACTTTATTTCGTTGATCCGTGTTTCTTGTGAGGGGAAATTGAGACAAGTAATGTTGACTTTAATACATTGAGGTTAAAAGGCTTCAAACGTATTGCCATCAATGTTGTCAATATTCGCATATTGATGATATTGATAGCAACATTGACTGTTTTTTGTCAATGTATTCTGAGTATTGACAAAGTGAATTCAAAATCAGCTTTTCGTCAATACTTGTCATCAATCATCATCATCAATATCACCTTTTCAATAATATTGTCAGTATGTCAATTTATTGTCAATATATTGACATGTGTAATGGGCGCATTAGACACAGCACGAGAGAGTGAGAGAGTTGACTGTTCACTGTTTGTCTGTTTATACACTCACTTCCGTGAGAAAGGAGGCAGCGCAAAGGTGTTATTGTTTCTCCAAAGATTCCGGGAGAGTTTTACGTGAGTGAGTGAAAACATAAATGTATACAGCCTTCTCACAGGTATATTCGACGTGGCTGTTGAAATTTAGCCGATCATCGATCATCACTCCCAGGTATTTCACCACGCTTTGAGGTTATGGCGTACCCCTGACGGTGATATCTGCCCGCTGTACCGCTTTAAAGTTACTGGCCAATAGCGCTTCCGTTTTGTGGTGGGCTATCTGCAGCTTTGCTCCTTGCATCCAGTTACCAATCATGTCGATCGCCTCGGTCGCCAACACTTCCACCTCTTCCAGCGTTTCGCCTGTTACCGTCAAGACGACGTCGTCCGCAAATCCAACGATCTCAACTCCTTTGGGCAGCTTGAGCGTTAGCACGCCGTTGTACATCCCGTTTCAGAGCGTTGGACCAAGGATGGAGCTTTGTGGAACTCATGCTGTGATCCTAATCAATCTCTGTCCCATGTCTGTCTGTCGACTAAACTGAAGCAAATTTCAATAATGATGTGCTGATGCACTTCCCGTATTCGCATTTCCAAAATGTGTACATTATAATTTTACCAAATTTTTAAATAATTGACTACAATAGAAAAAGTAACCTTTAAAAAATCTTTACATGCAACAAACTAACAACCAAAGTCTTCACCGCGCACCGGGGTGATTCTCCCCGGTGAAGCAAACGAACTCTCTACGGTGCTCCCTAGTGATCACTCATACGCGCCGGTGTGTTGGACTGGTGGAGGTGCGAACGTCAGAAACTGTACATATTTGTTTGCGAAGTGGGAGAGGCGGTAGAAAGTGAAAACAAAATAAAAATCTCTCGGGTGAGTTTGCTTTTGTCATAGTGCGAGGTGTCTTTTCAACTCATCACCCTGCTTAAACTGGGGAGAATGGCATGCCTGCCCCGGCAATAAGGATACCTGACTGTAGATGTAATATGTACGGATCGGAGATAACGTGTAAAGAACGGATGTTTGACGTCTATCGAAGTTCGATGCCATTGTAACATCCAAATTGATAGATATTATTAGCTAACTAGTTTTGTCTACTTCGCTTCTGCTAGTTTTGTCTACTTCGTCTCAAATGGGATAATGGACTTTTGCGCCAAGCACCAACTTGATGTTCTTTGAGTACTTTCACAGAAGTTCATAATCATTAGAAAAAAATAGTTGAATGCTTTCAAAGCCTGTGGCCAAGGTTGCTTCAAATTATTTAGCTATAGACACGTTTTTCGATATTATGAAATCATAAGATATTATGATGATATTTTGCTCTTGTAAGCTACTAGAAGAGGTTGTCAATGGGAAGCATACTACCCCGAAAAAAATACGTTTTGTTTTTTTCTAATTATATAGGGGAAATGACGGCTTCGGCATGACAGACTATTTTCGGCAACCCGAATTGAAACACTATTTGCACTTGATTTTCATACGAAAACACTTCGCTGAATGCATGCAAACGATTCTCTATGCTTTCAGCTTCAATTTGACTATATTTTTACCACTGAGAAAAAGCAATCTAGCAAGGTTCTCTTGAAATGCAACACACGCACTACAAATTGTAGCTGATTTCGAGTTGCCGACAATAGAACAGCAGATTTACATGCAGTTCAAATGGAACGGTTGCCGATGAAAAACTGGTTGCCGACAATACTCGCTCTCACTAGAGAAGATTGGAGCTTTGTAAAAGCGTTTCAAAACAGTTTGCGTGATCAGAGATGTTATGCCTCAGAACATCCCGGCGGTGTCGACTGGGATAAAACCCAGGTCTGCTGGAGTGAGAGGTTATCACGCGTACCACTACACCACCGGTGCTGCTTGGAAAAAAAGTATTTGTTTTAGATTTTAGGTTTTCCAATAGGGGAATTTACGTATTCACGGCAACCTAAGCAGCGACCTTCTTTCTATAGCCTTTTTCTCTAAGGAACGCACACATATGCAATATTGGTTTGTTTACAATCTTTTGCTGCCAGCTGCTCTAACAATTTCAGTCGAAAGAATTGTCAAAAACTGTTTTGAAACGCTTTTACAAAGCTTCAATCTTCTCTAGTGAGAGCGAGTATTGTCGGCAACCAGTTTTTCTTCGGCAACCGTTCCATTTGAACTGCATGTAAATCTGCTGTTCTATTATCGGCAACTCGAAATCAGCTACAATTTGTAGTGCGTGTGTTGCATTTCAAGAAAACCTTGCTAGATTGCTTTTTCTCAGTGGTAAAAATATAGTAAAATTAAAGCTGAAAGCATAAATAATCGTTTGCATGCATTCAGCGAAGTGTTTTCGTAAGAAAATCCAGTGAAAATAGTGTTTCAATTTGGGTTGCCGAAAATAGTCTGTCATGCCGAAGCCGTGATTTCCCCTACATAATATTTGCATGATTCTACAAACACGCTGTAAAGTACATTGTTACGCTACACCATGACTCTGTTCGACCCGTTGGGTTTATTGGCCACATTTCTGATCCACGGCAAGATTCTGGTGCAGGACTTGTGGCGCACTGGAACCGCATAAGATGAAGAAGTCTGTGGAAATCAGTATGGAGGCTGGTGCAGGTGGATCAAGATGATTTCGTACATCGCGAACGTTCGCATTCCTCGCTGCTATTTCCCAGAAGCGTCAGCACGTTCGTATGAAGTTACTGAACTTTATGTTTTCGTAGATGTCAGTCCGCTTACGTATTCCTGTGCGCTGTACCTGAGGACAATCACGACTGACGGCACACCCCACTGATCGCTGCGAAGGCGAAAGTAGCACCACTCAAGCCAATGACTATACCGAAGCTGGAACTTCAAGGATATCTCCTGGGAACAAGAATGATGAAGTTCGTGCAAGCAAACCACTCCATTACCATCAGAAGATGAGTCCTGTGGACGGACAGCTCCGTCGCGCTTTCGTGGATCCACGCAGATCCGAAAAAAAACTATCGACCGTTCGTGGCCAACCGGGTCGGCGAAATTCTCGAAAATACAACAGCCGATGAGTGAAGATGGGTTCCGTCGGAGTCTACCGCAGCAGATGAGGCAACAAAGTGGGGAAGTGGACCCTACTTCAGAAGCGACAGCAAGTGGTTCAACGGACCGGAGTTCTTGTGCTTCCCGGAACATGAATGGCCGAATTCTACGGATCTAGTCGTGGATACGGCCGAAGAAGTTCGATCGGCAGTACTCTTTCACGCAACTTGGAAACCTGTGATCGCCTACGAGCGTTTCTCTAAATGGGAGAGGTTGCAGCGTAGTATGGCTTACGTGCAACGATTTACTTTCAACGTGACCAAGAAGGGAGAAAGACGCAGTGGTCGATTAACTCAACAGGATCTGGATGATGCCGAAAATGAAGTTCTGAAGCAGGTACAAAGAGAAACCTTTGCAGATGAGGTAACGACGCTGAAGAATAATCAAGTACTACCAGAATACAAGAAGGAATCGATTGACAGATCGAGCATCGTGTACCAACTGATGCCAATGATGGATGAACGGGGTTTGATGCGTCAAAACAGCCGGATTTCAGCGGCGAAGGATATTCATCACAGCGTGCGCTTTCCAGTAATCCTGCCAAGAAAGCATCGGTGCACGGAACTTCTGGTCGCACGCTATCATCGTCTCTACCGTCATGCAAACTCCGAAACGGTAGTGAACGAAGTCCGCCAGCTGTTCATCATACCGAAACTGCGATCGGTGGTAAAGCAGATCGGACGAAGTAGCCAATTCTGCAAAATTCGTAAGGCACTGCCACCAGCACGGTTGGCCATACACGACCGTCCATTCAGTTACGTAGGAGTGGACTACTTCGGTCCATTGTTAGTCAAGCAGGGCCGCTCGAATGTGAAAAGGTGGATTGCGCTCTTCACTTGCTTGACTGTGCGCACCGTTCACCTCGAAGTGGCATACAGCCTGTCAGCTGCGTCGTGTATTTCCTGCATCCGACGATTTGTCTGCCGCCGAGGATCGCCTGTGGAGTTTTTCAGTGATAACGCTACGAACTTGCACGGGGCTGAACGACAGCTTCGTGAGCAGATCGACGAAGGAGTATCAGCAACGTTCACCAGTGCCAACAGGAAGTGGACCTTCACTCCGCCAAGTGCTCCGCACATGGGCGGTGCATGGGAACGACTCGTCCGTTCAGTGAAGGCGGCGATAGGGGATGCGTACCGCGAAGGAAAACTCAACGATGAAGAGCTGCAGACCGTGATCGTGGAGGCAGAGGGCATTGTGAATACCAGACCACTCACGTACATACCACTTGATTCTGCGGAATCGGAATCGCTTACTCTGAACCATTTCCTGCTGGGGAGCTCTAACGGGGTCAAACAGCCAAGCGTGTGTATTGAGTCGGGGCTTTCTCGGGGCTTGTGGAACCACATCCAGCGGTAGCTCAACCGATTCTGGCAACGCTGGCTGAAGGAGTACTTGCCGATGATGAGGAGGCAGACCAAGTGGTACAATGAAGCCCGGTGCATGCTAGATGGAGACTTGGTGTTGATAGTGGATGAGGACAAGCGGAATGGCTGGACTCGCAGGATCGTGACTGAGTCGATCAGAGCACCGGATGGTCGCGTGCGCCAGGCCATGATCAAGACTGCGGGGGAGTTTTTCGTCGGTCAGTATCGAAACTGGTGGTACTCGATGTTTCAAGTAGCAGTGTGGTCATTGAGGCCAGTAAACCGCACTCGGGGGAGGATGTTAGCACAGGGACATCGACTGATTGAACGGTTAAATTGGTAACCCGGCCGTCTGAACATCACGACACGAGCAGCGAGTCTACGCGCGACAAACTCTCTGTGTCGAAACGTCAGTCTGCAGGAACGAAAAAGAAAGAATTGAACCAGATACACGCGGGTGAAAAATTACTATAGAAAGTTAAATTAGTTAATCCTACTTACATCTAGCTTAAATCTAAATAGTTACTACGGGTAGTGAAGGATTATACAGCAAGCGGTTGAATGCTGACCAGAAAGGCCATTCGAGCGAAAATCGCCACTGAATTATTTGAAGCCACACACACAAAATATATATAAGCTGTTCGGATATCAGTGCGGGCCTTTCACTTCTCAGCAATTCAACATACATAATGCTGATGAATAATAATTTCGCATTATAGTTGTCCTCCAAATTGGAGAACAGAGATGCTTAAATCACCCCGTATGATCGTTATACCCCTTCCTCACCTACTTTGCTGACATATGAACCAAAATGTTGTCCAATATTGAAAGTACTACCCTTCTGATAAGGAAAACACAACTGAAAAAAATTAGCTTATTTTTTGAAAACTTTACCATCCCTCAACATTTATGGCGGAGAGCTTCACTTGTTTTAGAGAACTTTTTCTTTTAAATAATTTCCATGAAAAAAGACTCCAGAAATCAAAAAGCAGTCTCGTTAGTTCTTTTAATAATCAGTTCGACTGCTAGAAGGGCAATATATAACAAGTGATGGCGTCTGTCAAAATCAGGGTTATTAACGGGGCCTCAGATAGCCTTGTCGGTAAGGAACGGTATTACCAAGCCGGAGGCAGCTAGTTCGATTCTTGTAGGGTGTCGACTGCCTGGAAAATCAGGATATTCCATTTTAGTACTATCAAGGATAAAATACCAAATCCTCTCTGAAAAGTAATGCTGATCTCGTTAGTTTCATACAAATTCATTACTCGGTGTAGTTTTAGGGTGTTTGTAAATTAGTAAAATCTTAAATAGAATTGTGAGCTTTTGGGTGCTCAAATTAATTATTTCAATTGCTTAAAGAAACAGCATAGTCTTCTCCAGCTGTACATGAATTGGATACAAATGCTGTCAAAATCCTATGAATTTACACGCTAGTGTTCGTGAGATTCTGCTTGGCGAACTGAATTTTGGGCCGTCCCTGTGTTGAAGTGGCATCCACAGGGACGGTAAAAATTAAATTACATAAGTAGAGCTTGACATTGTTGTTTGTTACAAAATTCATGCACCAAGTGAATTTGCGCGTTTCTGGGTGGTGCTGTGTTTAGTTCGGTCCAACAAAAATTAAACCTCTGAAAATGGGTTCGAGCGCCTTTGTGAAGATGCAAATTAATTAAATTAATTGATTCTTTTAACTCCCTGAAAATTTGGTGATAATCGGATAAAAACTCGAATTTTGAGAATGAATTTTGTGTGTGCGGATTTAAAACGGTACATGCGGTACAGAATTAAGTAAAAGATTAAAATTCACAACTTCATTAAATTGCCTGTATTTCAATTTTCAACTTCATTTCGTGAAATTTCTTTAAAAAAAACTTGTTCAGGTATACAGTCATTGGAAAAATATAGTCCATGGAAAAGCATGAAATAGTTAAAATTAGAAAATATACGATTGAAAAGTATAAACCGTAATCACAACCCGATGATAGTAAAAAGATGGTAAAAATTTCAGGAATACGAAAAAATCATATTCTCTAAAATAAGTTTTAAAATCATAAAATATTGTTCAATAATTTGAATACCAATAAATCATTATGCTGATTATGATCGCTTTGATCAAATTTGGTACAATTGTTGGAAAGAGCATGAAATTTACTCAATATTGCATAAATAAACGCAAATAACACATGTATGTTTCTCATTTCTCCCCTCATGATTTTCAGAAATTTTGAAGGTGGAGGGGGGTTGAAAAATGTAAAACATATCTTCTTATTTAAAGATTTCACGTTGAATAATCGCGTTTGATCTCCAACTCCACACCTTTTCGATTCAACAAGCCAAAACTTTAAACGGTTCGAATAAGGAAAACAACAAAGAACACCGTTTCACCATTCTCTTACACCGTACAGTCCTCCAAGCAGGATTAAAAAAAAAACACTGTTAATCGAGTTTTAATGCGTGAAATCACGATCATTTATTTCACTTTCACTCACCTACCGCCAGCGCTGGACAAATGCATTCACTCGTGTCGAAGTTTACAGCACCGCAATGGTGCCTGAACAATTGAGTTTGAATTTTTAACGATGTGCTAAAAATCACACTCACCCAACTCGTGCACCGCTAGGCAGGGAGAAAAAATATGAATAATTGCATCGAATGCAGTCACAAAATCAACAATTTCACTGCTGCCCTCTGCCTGCTTCCATCCTGCGAAAAACCGCTAGGCGACCGAAAATACTCGAGAGCGAGAGAAAGAGGTTATGGTGGTGCATGAATTTGTGACGAAGAAGTTAACTATAAATAAACGCAAGAATGTACTTTTTTGTTTTGCTTGTTTTATTCGTCCACATTTGCTACTATGGTCCCATTAAAAATGGGCTATTATTTCGAATGGCGAGACGGGTTTTACTCATGTAAAAAAAAAGAGCATTCCAAAGTAGAAGAAGATACAGGACAGATTAAATACGCTCTGCTACTGCGGTTGGAACAGCAGTTAGTGTGTGGATCTCGCAAAATTCCGGTAACAGTAGTGTATTGATTCTTTATGTTTGATTTTTTTTTACGACCAATTGGATTCAGGGGCAGGAGATGGTCGTGGTTTGAATATCGGTACACGTTGATGAGATGCGACTCTACATGGGAATGGTTTATGAAGCAGATAAAACTGGTTTACGACAGGGTAGGATCGGAAAATCATTTAAGAAATACTTTATCATTGATGCAGCTTTATGGTCATTTACTGTCTGGATGACTCGTAAATGTTGTCTGTGAATGCTGGTATATATCCTACTGTTTTGGCATTCTTACACTTATCTTTAATTTAAATAATGCATTCTTGTGCAGTCACGCGTTTTCGGATAAATTGATTGATTTGTAAATTATTAGGTGGATTTCCGCCTTCTACTATAGGGAGGGTAAACATGAAAACCACACGCTCCCACTGCTCTCTCAATGGGCATCGAGGTCCCCAACAATTATGCAAAATTTGAGCGAATTTGAGTATGATCTGGATTTGCGAGAGAATTTCTAATTTAGTATGAAATGGTATGAATGTAGGGAAAATGACACCCAACCATTCATTTGCAGTGAAAAATTTAAAAAAATGCTCAATTTTAACCAATTCTAGGACTAAGAAAAAAAACTATGCAGTACATTTTTTCCCGAGACTGCACATTTATCCAAATTCTGTTCAAAAAATTATTAAACTTTTACATTGAACAAATGCTTCACTCAAACCTGACGGAACCAACATCACATACCCTGATGCCGTAGCTGAGGAGCTCAGCACCTATTTCGCTAAGCTTTCCGCCATCAACCAATATGCGTCCACCTTTCTCCGCAGAACAAGTCTATCTACTGCCGATATCGCCAATTTCCAGATTCCACAAGACAGCATCAAATCTCCAATTAACCAAGACTTATCGTTCGAGAAGCTGCAATTTGCATTGCGATGCAACACCGGTAACTCGGTCGGCCCAGACGAAATAGGTTATTTCCTTTTAAAAAATCTTTCTATCGACGGAAAGAACACACTATTGTACCCTTAAAACGAGGTGTAGCATACTGGTGACCAGTCTTGTAAGCAGTCACCGTAGTTGACACATTTTCTGTAATAATCGACTGCCTTTGCTTTCGACCATTTGCAAAACAAGGTATCAAATAACAGTACCAAATTAAAATGTCATTTAACAGGCTCTGTCATACGACACTGTCGCCGAAGACTGTCACGAATGTATGTATTTTAGTTTTTCTCATAATAAGAGCTGCTGATGTTGTGCTTGTGTGAATTCTGAAAATAGCAAGCAACGATGTCCTAGTAAAAGCATTTCTGATCAGAAATGGTTTAATGTACACCAAATTAAGGAATTAGAACGAAATCACACGTGTCATATGATAGTTATTTGATGATTTTCTTTTTGCTCGAATGTTGCTCTACCGTTTGTGTTGTGTAAGAGAGACGACGGTAGAGTACGAGAGTACGAATACAAACAGACTGTCGCGCACGACAACGAAGCGAGTGTAGTAAAAAACGTCAACAGTTTCAACCCCTGCTGGTGACTTTCCGGCCACTTGGCGAGAATGATTGGTGATCCCGATCCCAAAGGCCAACGCCACCACACGAGGTACCGACAAAATCCGTCCAATTGCGTTTTTTTTCCGTGTTGGGTGTATTCATCACTGCGACCATTACTTTGCTCTATTGTCATATTCCCCGTTTTTATATTGCTTTATCAGTTATGTCGTATCACTATTTTGTGAAGCGACCGACATAGACTGACCAAAAGCATTTTCCCAGCCAGGTATTACATTTCGAATGAAATGTACTACTTTACTGGGACCTGCATTCCAAATATCAAAGGGTTCTGCCAGCCCCTTATCCAGAAAAATACGTCTTTTATTGAAGATTGCTGCACAATAGCATAGCAGGTGTTCAGAGTCTTCCTTTTCTATACCACAGAATCGACACATATCCTCTTGAAGTTTTCCTATTAGCTT